GACGCTTTTCCCTCCGGCAACGCCTTGCAGATCGACCTTCACTTTATCGTAAACACTTGGCAAGCTTTCGGCGTGGTACTTCCTCCGCAGGTCCATGTACTTCTTCTCGTCGTAGATATCCCAGAACTCTTGCTCCGTATAATATGCATGCGCGTACAGACACTTCATACCCCCTAGCTCCGTGACTTTGGCTTCAAAGTCTCTGTTCAGCTTGATGAATTCGTGGGCGTCGCTTGGTCCCATGTCCCAGATACCCACGTCGAGGAGAATGTCGTCTTTGATATTGTTACCTTGGGAGAAGCTTCGCTCCCCACGAGGCGCCGACTTCACTGGACACAGCCAGAGCGGCCAGATACCAGTCCTTTCGTCGGTCCATCGAACGAATTCTTCCGCCGCGTCGTATGGTACACCGTAATCTTGGATAATAGTTCGGGATGCGAGACCTGAGCGATGCAGAGCGTGTACCATGGTCCGGGAGTACATGAAAGGATCTAGTAGAAAGCGCGTGAGACGATTGAAGGGCGTGACGAAGTATTTGAACGCGCGCAGCCCTGACCAGAAGACGCCTCTGTCGTAGCGGAACAGATAGGACTGAACAGGCACAAGCTCCTTGTATGTTGTTTTCTCGTCCTGGGCCCGCTTCAGAATGTCTTCTGCATGCATGTATAGCCAGGGGTCTGTCGCTTTGTCGAAACTCTGAACTCTTCTATTCATTGGAGCATCATGACCATCTGTCAAGCGACCGATCATAACCACGCCACTCGTCATCGAATACATGATGCCATCCATGTATTCGACCTCGAGATCATCTTGGTATCGTCGAAATTGCTCGACGGCCTCATTTGTTGAGCGGACTGGAATGTACTCCAACTCAACGTATCGACGTGCGTCAATGAGCTCCATTTTGAGTAGGGTAATGACACCTAGACTTCCGCAACTCCCTGCTGCTGTGAAGAAGAGATCGCGGTTCTGTTCTGCCGATGCCCATACTACCTCGCCGTTTCCTAGGATAAGCTCGATGCCGGAGATGGTGCGATCGAACAACCCGTACTTATAGGAGCTGCTCTCGCCGCTGGTGCCAGCGAATCTGTCAATCTTAGTTAGCAGTTCTCCATGCCATGTAATCTGCTCAGACGTCTTCGGCTTTCTGTTCATCACTATGAACTTGATGGAGGACTCGAGTGACTACTGGGCTACGTCTTGTCGTTAATCACTCACCCGCCACCGACTGTAATGTTCGGGAGTTCCATGACGACTTTGGGCAGGAAACCTTTGGCCATTGTAGCTTCCACAAGTTTATCCATCGGCACGTTCGGCTCCACCAATACCGTCTTTTCGGTCTCATCAAACTGGAGCACATGGTTGAGTGAACTGACATCGATAATCTGATTCCGATCACGAGACGATTTGCGTGTTGATAGTGTAGAACCATGGTAAATGCGGAATGGGGTCTTCGAAGCACTGAAGCGGGCGACTTGCGATGCCAGAGTCGCTACTGTAGAGTTATGAGTATCCATAGTGTGCGTGTAATGATGCAACGAGATGTAACGATGTTGTCGGGCGGTCCGAGGTTGAAAGGAACATGGTGTGGCGTTGCTTTTGATGTATACATAAGCTGCAGGGCTGAGCCTTCTCCACTACCCGTTGGATCCTGCTAAAGTCAATGTCTGACTATCCGCCCCGGACCAAAAGCCGCTCTTGTGTGGGTGTGGGGCGAAGGATCCGTATGCATTCCTCTTCATGGTTTCAGCCATTGTAGATATCCAGGCGACGAGCTGTCATTGATGCTGCTCCAGAGAAACCATAATCGCAATCGTATGCGCGGGCGTCACCTTCCGCATCTTGGATGATGAGATCGGGCGCCCCATAGGGACCGGAAGCGCGGAAGACGATCCACTCGCTAAGAACGCTGACGTACGGCGTTCGGGAAGGTTTTTCCACCCCCAAGGTTTTGGCTTGCGCATTGAATACGAAATACGGCTCAGGCAGTAGCTGGCAGCTTTCAGCATACTGTTGTCGCGACTGCGATAGTAGGAAAGAAAGATTGGTGGTTCAAACTCGTGAATCCGCGGGTAGGTACGACCGCTACTAGCGCAGCCTCTTCAGCCTCATCTCGCAGCCACACATCACGCAGGAAAGCAACACCAATCGCATCGCTGCAGTCGGCTCCACACCATCTTCCAGATGGACAGTCACCGGGCTACTGTAGAGACAGTACGTTCTCGCATTCAGCATTTCTACCACAACAAGACCGCATTTCGTGTTTATCATGGTAGCACGAACAGCACCCGCCATGCTCATTTCGACCGAGACGCTATTGTGGACGTAAGCTCCCTCAACCACGTCCTATCCATCGACAGAGAAAAAAGAACGGCGCTTGTCGAACCAAATGTCCCTATGGATGCCTTGGTCAAGGAAACCATGAAGGCGGGCTTGTTGCCTCCTGTGGTTATGGAGTTCCCAGGCATCACCGTAGGAGGAGGCTTCGTAGGCACAGCAGGAGAAAGTAGCAGCTTCAAGTACGGATTTTTCGACCGTACAGTGTTGAGCGCAGAAGTGGTTCTGGCAGATGGCACGCTTGTCACGGCATCCCAGAGCGAGAATCAAGAACTGTTCGAAGGCTTAAGAGGTAGCTTTGGGACACTTGGTGTGCTCACGCTGGTGGAGATGCAGCTTGTTCCTCTCAAGAAGCTGGTTGAAGTAACCTACCATCCAACCTTTTCCTTCGAGAACGCGACAGATAAGATTCAGTACCATACCACCGACGAAAGGAACGATTACGTTGACGGAGTCTTGTTCTCCAAAGGTGCCGGAGTGGTAGTAACAGGGCGCCTCGTTGACAAAGACCGTACGCCCGACTTGCCGATTCAGAGATTCTCTAGACCATGGGACGAGTGGTTCTGGATACGCGCCAAGAAGCTTGCGGCAAAGGGCATCATCACGAAAGAGCTTGTCCCTGTGGAAGACTACCTGTTTCGCTATGATAGGGGAGCATTCTGGATGGGAATGTATGCTTACAAGCAGTTCATGGTCCCTTTCATGTGGTTCACACGCTTCTTGCTGGACTACTTCATGCACACCAGGATCATGTATCACGCACTACACGTGTCTGGATACACGGATCGATTCATAATTCACGACATCGCGTTTCCAGCCGCCAATACTGCATCTTTCTTGCAATATTCGGACCAGGCTTTCAACATATACCCGCTGTGGTTGTGTCCGCTGCGGCACGATGGTAGAAGTTCGATGGGTCATCCCAAGCCGTTCGAGGGTCTTGTCAATGGGAAAGAGAAGGGCGTTTATGACGGCAAATACATCAGCGTTGGCATCTGGGGCCCGTACTCTTCCAACGAGACTGAGTACGTTCGCGCAAATCGTGAGATCGAAGCGAAGATGCGCGAGCTGGGTGGACTGAAGTGGCTATACAGCCGAGTTTTCTACACCGAAAACGAATGGTGGCAAGTCTACGATAAGCGCGAGTATGATACGCTACGCAGCAAGTACAATGCAGATTCTCTGCCAACAATATGGGACAAGGTCAAAGACCGAGGAAGAAAGGAAGAGTTCGGTCCAGGCCTGAAAGGTATGCTGAAACGCATCGTGAAGAGCAACGCTTTCTTAAGTGGACTCTATGGCATCTACAAGGCGGTCAAAGGTGGAGATTACATGTTGAAGAAAAAGGTTTCCTAGAGCCAAAGTAGTCAAGAATCAGCCGTGTAGTGCAGACATGTGGTAATGAGCAAGTCTTGAATAGTACAAAGCCCATAAGGGGTTAGCGGCGTCTTCGGGCTGCCGGAGACATCCTCGTGGAACATGAACTGAAATCTCCTCACGTTATCACCTCTCGACTACAGTACCTCATGCCCCGCCTCTCGCTGAAAACCATGATTTGATATTCCTGCTACCGGAGATAGCTGTTCTAGAAGGAGATGCGCGATCGTCACGGAAGCCTCGTTGCCGTCGCAGAGCGGGCCATGACGTTTAGGGGGCACGGCGCGCCTTCTGCGATCAAGGCCGAAGATTCCAAATTCTTAGCGCAAGTCAACGATCAACACCACGGACATTGCGACCGTGCTCAATTACAAACCAAAGGCAATTATAATCGCGTCATTATCAAGGATTTCGCTGCCCAGGTATCAAGACGCGAACGCTCGTTGCTTACACATTCGCGTTGTGTCCAGTCAGAGTGCAGCGTGGTCCCGAGCATTGATCTGGTTCCGACCACGCATCTTCATGCAGGTCGTGTACCGTCGCTACTTGGGTACTTCCGAACCACATCACGAGGCTATTGCAAATACAACCAACGATAACTTCGGCTGCAAGGAGTCCCTGCGTCTCTGCCAAACGACCGCCCAAAAGCACAAGTAGATGGTTCACCTGCCGCGCGAAGACTCGCTGCGAAACATCTCCGTGGCCTAATTGACCATATACGTATGTTATGGACGCGTTCTAGGCGTAGGGAAGCACATTTCAGTGTACCTGCGTACCGTAGCTTCCGCCTATGGTGGCGAGTAGTCTCATTATACAAGAGCTAACGGCTGCCATACTTCATCGATTACCCAATCCAGCCTATGATGCCCCACGGAGTCCCACTAACTACTGGGGTAAAACCGCGCTCGGCGCGGGACTACTTGCTTTGGCACCTCACAATCTCCTTCTTTCGGATGTCGCCTTGCCGGTACTTGAGTTAGCTGCTGATTCTACCTGCATATGGTTCCCTGCGGTACATTAACTAGACGGCCGATAATCAACTATTGGTTGCACAACGTCAATTCGGATGAATAAACTGTTCGGCAGCGCTATGGAAAGTTCGATCGACGAGTTCGCGCGCTTTGGATTTGTTGGTAGCTCCAGTATTGGAAGGGTTGTAATGTAAGGGTGCAGGAGCCAGTCGTGTGCTGTTGGTACTATATAATGTGGCGGCCACATTCGGTCGCGAATGAACCACCAGTACTCAGGTCAAGTCTCACTTCAACTCACCATTCTTCCGCAACAAAATGGCTCCACTCAAAGCATTGCTACCCCTCGCCCTGGCCAGCGTCGCTGGCGCCAGACAATGCGCAAACTTCATGATACAGACCCCTATCACCTCGCGACAGGGACAGTTCAAGGAAGTACCAGTCGAAGGTAACCTCGACGTCGGCGCATTCGTAGCTAGCTTCAACCAGTTCGGCAAGAACTACAGCGCGGAGCTTCTTGAGGGTTACCAGACCCTTCAAGGAACCTACAACATCTCTGCGCAGTACTGTAAGCCAGCCAGCGGTAGCGGAAACACGATTCAGCTCTTGAGCCACGGTATCGGCTTTGACAAGACTTACTGGGATCTGGAGTACGAAAACTACAATTACAGCTACGTCGACGTCGCGTTGGCCGCTGGTTACAGTACGCTCGCGATCGACCGTCTCGGTATCGGTAACTCGTCTCACGGAGACCCCTTCAACGAGTAAGTGACAACTCTATAGCAATCGTTGTGTACCATATACTAATCAGGTCTTTTCTTCAGGATCCAAGCACAAGCGGAAGTCGAAGCCCTCAACTCTGTCACTACACAGCTGCGTGAGGGCAAGATCCCAGAGATCAGCTGTGCATACGAGAAGGTCATCCACGTTGGCCACTCCTTCGGCAGCGTCCAGTCCTACTGGCTCTCCGCCCTCTACCCCGAGAACACCGACGGTGTCATCCTCACCGGTTTCTCCGTCGCCGGACAGTTCCTCGCATACATCACTGCCGGATGGAACCTACACAGCGCTCGTCTCAACCAGCCCCTCCGCTTTGGCAACGCTTCCAACGATGTCATTGAGAAAATCGCAAGCGAGTACGACCTAAGCGACAACATTGTCGGCAGTCTTCAGAAGATCCTCGCGGCCGCTGGTGTAGACCTGACCTCAGACGAGGTATGGAACGAGCTTGCGACCACAGAGGTCCTTGACTTGATCAACGGATACAACAAGACCGTTACCCAATACGACTACCCCTCCGGCTACATGGCACACTCCGACCTCACAGCCCTACAGTACGCTTTCCTCCAGCCAGGCAACTACGACGTCGGCCTCGCTCTCGTAGCCGAGAAGACCAAGCAGCCCGTCACCACCGGCGAGCTCTTGACTATCGGCGGCTCACCCAGCTCGTCTCCCTTCACTGGCCCCGTCCTTGTCATCACTGGGGAGACAGACGTTCCCTTCTGTGGTGGCAACTGCTACGGTCAACTCATGGGTTCCAACGCCTCCAACATCCCCGAGGGCGTTGCCATGGCCTACCCCAACGCCTCTGCTTTCGAGTCCTACATCCAGCCTAACACTGGCCACGGTTTGAACTTCCACTACAACGCCACAGCTGGCTACCAAGTGATGCAGGACTTCCTGGCTAGCAACGGTCTTGCTGCGCAGTAAGCGTCGTACTTTGTATTGTGTGTCGCGTCTATTCTTCCGTTGAGGCTGGGCGCCGCAGGGGCATTTCGCAAGTTTGATGCACATTCTAAACTAGCGTTAGAGAATGAATACGTATTCTTTGTAATATCATGCACAAAAATCGTCACCTGAAAGTTTTGCGTGTTGTATTCGGTGTGGCTTACTCATGCACATGCCTGTCGCAAGCCATAACCGATACTGAAGTACCTGGGTTGACTTTCTAAGCCTTGACTAAATGATTGCAAGCAGTGGCACTCAGGCACGATCTCCCTTCCCCGAAAAATTCCGCGCAAGCGTGGTGACCAAATGCTGATGAATAAGCCTTGTCATTGCTGACTTTACAGCTAGGTATGCAGAAAACGCTCGGCGGTCTCCACACCTCCGTGCACGACAGGGAGAGCTCAGAACACCATTGACAGTTATCGCACCACATGTCCTCGCCCATTGCACCACTGATTATCAAAGTCTTACTCAGAATGTCGCCGTCGTATACGACGCCTCAACACCAAGGATGTCGACGATGGCCCGCTTCGCCCATGCACGACATCTCGACTAGGACCCGTGATGCGGGGCTATTTCATGAAGGTAGCCAATGCTGAGCCGTGAGGCTGGCAAATAATCTGGGTACAGTGTTTGTCATGGCTTTGATAGCATTGCAAACAACAAGATCTCCGGGTCGAGTGGGTAGTCTGAAGCTACACCAATGCAGGACTTGGTTACGTGCTCCGCCTTAACATGGACCTAAAGCATCTTGTACGAGGGCGGACTGGCGGGCCAAGGCGTGGCGTGGCGAGGAATTTGCGCAGTGGAGTGGACGCGATTGAACGGGGTTTGGGCGGGAGGTAAGAGTTAAGGTGGATGAGGCTGAAGACTCTGTAGACGTATAAAGAGGTCTTCCAACTGCTCTCAAGTTACACATCCATTGCAACAATATTGGATACTTCTCAGACTTCGGAGCATAACTTGACTCACCGATCGGATCACCAGTCTTCAAGATGAAGTTCAGTTCCGCCATCGCTCTTGCGGCCCTCACGCTGTTCAACACCGTTCGCGGTGATGGTACGATTGTCCTGTAAGACAAATCTTCCAGAAACTAACATGCCTCAGCTGTACCATGGGAGCGCATCGACAAGGACAAGGCGGTGCGTCTTCTTCATACTCTCCAGCCCCATATCCCTATCTGACGTCCCAACGCAGCTCCTCCTCATTCTCGACTTACAAGTTGGCCTCTTCCAGCTAGCCAGAGACTGGGACCCAACCCTCTACAAGCAAAACATCCTGGCGCACGCCGAACTCGGCAAGGTCTTTGACATCCCCGTCATTCTATCCACGTCTGCAGACCAAGGACCCAATGGGCCTTTGCCGAAGGAGATGCTGGAGATGTATCCTGATGCGCCGCTTATCCGACGTCAGGGCGAGGTCAGGTAAGTCGTCTTCCTCATCGTTATCACTATACCTTGTGTCAACATACCACAATGCCCACTTCTTAGCAACCACCTCTCCTAACACATCCCCAGCGCCTGGGACAACGAAGCCTTCCGTGCTGCCATCCGCGCCACAAACCGCACCCAAATCATCGTCGGCGGTATCACAACCGACGTCTGCACCACCTTCCTCGCCCTCGCCCTGCGCTCAGAAGGCTACTCCGTCTTCGCCAACGTCGAAGCTAGCGGCACCTACACGCAGCTCGTGCGCGACACGGCAAACGCGCGCATGCAGGCCGCGGGTGTGCAGCTCGTTTCTCTCTTCTCCATTGTATGCGATCTGATGCGGGATTGGCGCAATACGCCCGGCGCGAAAGAGCTGTTGCCGTATTTGGACAAGTATCTGCCGGTTTATGGAGCGGTGGCCAGGGGGCATGCGGCGGCGGTTGAGAATGGGACGGTTATTCCGGGGGAGATTGGGTTGATTACGGGGGAGAATGGGACGATTCTGTTGTAGAGGGTTGTGAGGGGTGAGGCGGTTGACGATGCGCGGGAAGGCGGAGAGTACTGGTAGGTAGCGAGTAGGAGCATTTGACGGAGAGGCACATGATGGATGGTGGAGGGGACTGCGTGCGATGTCGATAGCAATGTCAACTGCGTAAGAGCGATGAAGTTACAGCACTTTGATCGTGTGGATGTTCATGACGCTTTTGGCGGGTCAACATTGATACGGCAGCTCTTGGCGAGACCAAGGGCAAGCCGACGCGAAGCCACCTCGGCATCTGAGAGCCCATCTGTCACTGTCTTCCTCAACACCAAGAGACGTGACCATACACATCTCACTTTACAGAACTCACCATCGCGTCGCCATCCGCCGCGGCATGCTTTACAGTGCGAGCAATGCTGAGCCTGAAGACAAGCTGCCTATACTCCCACACGCCATGCAACCGCTGCCTTCAAATCCTACAATAGGACCTCCGAGTCATGCATTTTATACAAGTACACCAGACAAGTGTTATATGAATAAGAGTTCTCAATAACCAATGCTAATCAGGACCAGACCGCAGTCTGAGTTAAAGGCGTACTTGACTGATTCTGAAGGATACTTCGCAGAGCAAGCAATCTAAGGTAGGAACGATATGGCTTGCGAGAGGCCTTTGACGTGCTTCTTGGCTTTGTATATATTGGTCTTGCCTAATTCAAAATTGGAGTCAACCTCGACCGAAGCACAGTACTCGTTTCCTCGAGGGTGTCTAAGCGGTCGCTGTCTGCACCCTTGTGCTTGCACTTACCTTCGCTCCACGTATAGCTCTCTTGACACCATCAAAAGACGCCCCCGATCCTTACCGCGAACAGCCATCGCTATCATTCCATCCATCATTTACCTGTAAAGGCCAATCATGTCCCTCTCCAGAAACCACTCATTCCCGCCGGTAATCAGTGTACGACATGATGCGACCGAATACATAACAGATTTACCTCCCTCCCTCGCTGTATGGCTCATGCTACGTACCAAAAACGTCAGCAAAATCGGTTTAGCGGGATTCAACAAACGCTGCATAGTCTGCGAGCAGTTTGTGTGCAATTTCTGGACCGAAGCATGCGACCACAGAGTGAGGTGGCTCACGAAAGAAGCGGCGAAAGAAGAACTGGCAATGTTGACACCGCAGCCATATCTCCGACGACGGCTTTCAGAAGACTTCGTCGAACGATCCCTCCTTGCACAGCAGCGCCCAAGCCTCCCACTGTCAACGAAATGCTTATCACCGAACCCAGATGTATCGAGTATAAGCGCGCAGCTTGCACAACCCCATACCTTCGTTCCTTCCCAAACCCGTAACACAACGGAAGGCATAGCACCGAAATATTGCAGATGGGAAAAATCTGGTGTACATACATGCGCTAGTCCCACTGGCAGCTGTAAAATCGCAGTCAAGATCCTCACGCGCGGATGTCGGCATGTCATCGGTCAAGACTGTCTCTATCGATGGATCATAGCAGGAAAGAACTGGTGCCGGTTTTGCGGTGTGGTTTGGTTCAAGGAAGAGAAGTCTAAGATCACGAGAATGGCGCTACTAAAAGAGTGTTTTCGGGGTAGGGCGGATTATGTCGAGCACTTGGGCGCCATATGTGGGAAAGAAGAGTTCCAACAACTTGCGACACAGTGTGGAACCGTGAGAGAGGGCGAGTGGAAAGGTATCCTTGCTAGAGAGCTGGAGCGGATAATACTGGGGCAGTGTGGCCTCCAGAAAGATATGGAATCTATGAGAAAAGAGATACTGAGGATGGATCCGAGCTTTGTGGATACTTGGGATGAGCTGAAAGAGGACTTTGAGAAACAGTGCTGCAGCAACGCGATAGCACCTTGGACCGTCACTGAGAACTCACCGGCACCGTGGGACCCATACCAAAATCCGAGCGCGCGCAAAGGAATCCATATTCCTCATCACAAATGTCGTTAGATTCTTTCAGCGACAGCTGCCAGTCTGAGCATTCACCACGATACCACGTTCTCATAGAGACAATCGCTCCGTCGCTAAGACACTGAAGAATCTGACCATTTCCACTCTCATGACTCCACTTCTTCCGTGATCCTCGTTCAAGAGACATCCAACATGGAATTCAGCGATATGATATCAACCGCGGTTATACAGACCCACCATTGTGAAACGGCACATGCAGCAACCCTGATCTCTATCACTCACAAGCTTTCCGCGGCATTTCTTAGCACATGGAGATCCGTTTCGGAAGCTCAAGCCAGGCGTTTCGTGAGAAAAAAGGTAATTCACAACTCCAACTGTTTGGCCTTCCGCCCCGCTGTCGCGCGAGAGTTGCTGTATGCTTAAGTAGCGGCGCGCGGAGGGAACACCGTGTTCGATAGTCTACCGTATCTGACATGACAGCTGGGACTCTCAAACTCTAGACAAACAGCTGTACGAGCAACACAAACGCAACCGGAAGGTGAGTCGGTATCTCGTACCACCTCACGAAACTCTCCGGTCCAGAGCCCTCCAGAGCGCTCGCGCTCCCAATTACCAAGACTAGAAAGGACCCGCGTACTATACGATGTATTACCAGTACCTGCTTAGCAACGAGAAAAAGAAAGAATATTAATAGCTCAAGCCGTGGGGAAGGACCGAGAGATGTTTGTCTTCGTTCGGGTTCTAGCCTCAGGTACGACTCGGGAGGATGCCGAGGAGAGAAGGAAAAATAGATGTGCTATGGCTGGAAGAGGGTTGGTGTACTGGATGTGGACGTCCGTGTGTCGAGAGTAACGTTTCGCAGTCCGTTTTCGAGGGTGGAGCCCCCTGTCTGTGAGTGCGGTACCCGGAGTGAGGTCCGCATCATGGCAGAGGACGGAAGTTGCAAACGAGTGAAGTCATCGCTGGAGTGCGCAAGACGATCAGAAACTGAGATGAACACCATCTCTAGCATCATCCATCGAACGAAGCAAAAGTGACGATGCTTGGATCTGTGGGGACGCCGCTAGCCATAACGCGGTTCCCAGCTGCGCCTCCAGCAGCCAGCGCACCAATGGCCTTTGCAATCTAACCCACA